CCAACTTTGGAAAAATAACCATGCAACTGTTCCCGAAGGGATGTTCAGTTTCATTTTCAAATCCCTTGTGTTAGAGCAGCAATGGGCATGAGTGGCTCTCCATTTCAATGGGCTGCAAGACAGTCGTAATCAAGATGGTCTCCTGGAATAGCATAGTTTTGCTAACTGTGTTTGTGGGATTTGCGAACTGAACAGAAGTGATTTGATTGGATGCAAACGGCTCTCAGTCAATGGTGTGTGCTATCGGCACGCATCTCAATTCACATGCCTTTGATTTAGGTGTGTGTCACTTTAATACTGGTAGAAAAAAAACATGGATGGAAATCAGTGGAAACTGGCAACTCTATGCATGGGAAATTGTAAAAAATGTGTCTTATCGGTCACACACAGAACTCTGACAGTTGCATGGGGCCGATGGGCCGTGGATTGCCCACCACTGTATTAGAGACCTACCACCCACCTTTGGACCTTTAACGGAAGGAAACGGAGTTGTATTTTTACAAGCCCTTTCACTTCTATTTTGTAGCTCTTTGTGGTGTGATCCTTTCTTCCATGCTTGAATGAGCAGTAAGTAATTAAAACACTTAACATTTAAAAAAAAATCACCAACATCTAAGTTAGCTTTTCCCTTTGAAATTAATAGGGCAGTACATGTCAGTGCTAACTGTTTCATGTTTTCTGAAAACACTATTTAAAGATCCTAATTTTAAGGATCTCTCCTGCCACCACAACAGCTCAAAAAAAAAAAGTTGCTCTAATTGAAAGCTGAAACTCTGGAGAACTATTATAAGGACTGTTTGCGACCCATCCTCACCCTGCTGATCCTTTGCACTCTACTCTTGAGGAAACATTTCTTAGAAGGGATGTTGAAGGTTTTCAGTGCAATAGGGTTTTTTCCCTGCAAGCCATCTTATAATAGATGATTCAACTTTTTGTTACTTGTGATCCAACGACTTAGGAATTTCCCCTGCTGTAAACAGTTCTAGGTAGCCACCATGACCTCGTCTTTTTGGAAAGGCTGTCTGGAAAAGTCAGAATCCTTGCTCACAGGCTTCCAAAGCCCCACAGACAAGTTTCCCTGTAAGCTGCGCACACCCTTCCTGAGCCCTCGCAGAGGTTCAGAGTTCCCCTGCACAGGCAGGGAGCTCAGCTGATCGGCTGGGGAAGGGAAGGTGGGGGCACTCACCCTTGCGGAGGAGCAGAAAGAGCAGCAGCTGCTGCTTGCTACAAATGGAGAAGCTGGCTGCAGCCTCTACCCCAAAGCCGGGCAAAAGATGATCTGTGGGCCAGATCAAGCCATGAGAGCCCCAGCTAGCTCTCTGCCTGCCCAGCACCCACTTGGCACTCCAGAAAGCTGGATGCAGGACCACATGTGTGTTTGTGAATGCTGAGAGCCTAGAGGGAGTGGACACAGGCTTCTCATGCTGCTCCCCCCCCCAGCCAATACCAGATGCCTGTTTGCAGAATGGACAGCATGTGAAGTGGCCCTCCTGCCTCATCCCCAGACTCACAGCATTCAGTTTAGAGCAATAAACATGGCTCCTGCAACTCCCCATAGCATATACAGGGGTAGAAGGCAGGGATCCTGGCTAAGGTAAGGTCTCCCAGCTAGAGTCTATTCTGGCACTTCAGCCCTTCCCTTCCTCTCCTCCCTACCCCATGTAAGTCAAACCTTCTGCACCCCAACTCCAGCACCCATACACCTTCCCAGACACTGCATATCTTCCTACATCCCTCCTCAGGTCACAACTCCCTCTCAGACCTTGTATCCCAATCTGCTATCCCTGGTTACAGCCGAAATGCCTGCAATCCCTACTGCACTCCTGTCCAAGTCAACCCCCCGAGGCCTGCACCCCCTCCTCACCCCAGTCCATGATCCCTTACTCTGCCCAAACTCACTCCCATATCCCTCACCCCAATACCTCACCACAAGCTCCCTTCTGCACCCAACCCTCCATCCCAGACCCCCGCACCCTTGACCACTTTCCAAATTCTAGGAGTGGCCCCCCATCAAAAAATATTGCCCACTCCTGTGTTAATGGATTCTTTTAACAGAATTTTGAGTGTTGCTGATATCTAAAACTCTGGACTTAATGATTTTTTAAAATCCTGTGTTACAAATTAATACATGGTCAACTGTATTGCATTAAGGCCAGATCTTTGCTATCTAGCAGAGTTCTGAGCACTTATGAGTCAGAAGTAGCAAGTACTAGGTGTGATGCTAGTTGTTTTGTAGGATGAAATCTTATTTGCAAGATCTTTGAAAGATTAATCTGTTAGAAAGGATGATGATACATGTGGTCCAAGGTCTCAAGGGGTAGTAGTGTTATTCTGAAACTAAAATAACTTAAAAAACAACAACGGTCTTATAGACTAAAAATATATATAAATAGTATAATGATCTTTCATGGACATAACCCACTTCTTCAGCCAAAGGTAGTGTTTATTTAATATGAAATCAAATAAAAAGAAAATTATCAAACATTGCATCTTATTAATTATCCCTTGTTTTAATATATTTTCTTCCACACCTGTGGACTATTTAATATATTTATATCTACAATCTGTTTGTAGTGGTGGGTGCACATCCACACTAGCTCAATATTGGCATTGCACATAAGAAATCTCAACCTGCCCAAAAGAAAATTCAACCCACCCAAGGATGGAAAATCTTAGAGGGAACACTGCCCACAGGTGTTTGGGGTCAGGCTTCATACAGGGTTTGACAGGAACAAAAGCAGTCTTGGAGAGAATAGCTTTTTGTGATAATTCAGGATTAAAGCTGTAAGCCATAAGATATTTGTTGATTTCACTTTGCTCTTAGATTCTATTTGCATCTGCATTAAAAAAATGCAAACATTCAGTAAAGTAGCATCAGAACTGACTAGTTGCACTTGGGCTCAATGCAAGCCCTAGAATGGAATCTGTCCAGAAAAAAAAATATCCTAGCTCATTAGGCTGAGTTAATGAGCTGCATTTGGAATCTTGTGGCGCTCTACTTTCCTCATTCTTTAAAAGGACATTGAAATGATAGAGCAGCAGGCAACCAGAATCTTGCACTGATGAAAGATCTCTATTATTCAAAGAGGTATGGCAAACCTATCCCTGGATTCTTTTGATGGAGAGATAATTAGGAGTAGCATTCAGTGGGGTGTAAAAATTTGATGGAAATATGGGACAGATGGTACAAAGGCTGTTTGAAATAATACAAACTAGAGGTCTAAAGGACATGGCTCAAATTAAGGAAGGCAGAGCACTAAATACAGGTGGAGTGTCTTTACCATGTTGCCTTCTTGTTGGTTTATTAATAAGTCATTTTAAAAGAACTGAACAAAATATTCAGGACTAATATCATCCAAGGTCTTCAATTTTTATTTCCTATTGTAATTTAGGATTTTCAGGCTTTTGTACAACACACTGGAGGAAAGATGGCCAGGAACTCTATCAGTCTCTCACATACAGGCACTTCTAGTTTGCAATGGTGCATTAAAGTCTTGCTAAAAACTTGCAGCACACAGTGTTTTATTGGATATTTACAAAAAGATAGATAATGGAAATCAGGATGCAACCACACAAGCAGTTGAAGAGATACATCTGCTGCAATTTTAGTGACATAAGAATCAATTTATGAAGAAAATTTAACATTCCCCTCTAAATTATGTCTACAGTAATCCAATATGAAAAAAAAAAATCACATTGTGACAGCAAATTTCTCCTGTCTGCCCTCCCTTCTCTCATTTTATGCATTTCTCTTTCTACTCTAGTGAAAATCCAGAGCATTGATTTTAGGACTATTTTACTGGATTTCCATTTGTTTTGCCTCAGCTCCTACATTAATCCAAACAATAAGGGCCTTTAAAGCATTCATAAATAACCTGCTAGTGCTGCTGGCACCTAGGAGCCAAGTGCAGCAATGTTAAGCAACAACAAATTTCATAGTTCAAAAGGCACAGTTAAAGAAAAAGGTTGCTCAGAAAAAATCACTTCTAATTTAGCACAAAGATCCTTAAAAATTGCATGAAATCAGTCAAGTAACTATAGAAACCAATTTCTTCAGCTCTGTATCACACGTCTCACACCTCAATTGTCTTTATTATCATCTGCTGTCAGATCCTTAATCAGAAATGTGAACAGGCTTGATGATTTATTCAGCAGGGAAAAGAATCTGTAGGTCAAGTGAAAAATTTCACACACACACACTCTCTCCCTCCCCTCCCCCAACCTTAGGTACTTTCATTTCATTCTGTTCCCAGTAGCTGTGGGGGCAACTCCAGTGAGATCCAATATTAAGGCTCAATTAAAATAAGCTCCAATTAGTGGAGCTTTTTTCTCTCAGGCTAGAAGAGTCAGGAAATGGATATTGGGAAATGTAAAAAGTCAGCTACTGAGAGGAGGCTGCAGACATAAATGAACTTATTTGTTGATTTCTACAGTTGCTATGCAGAGGCCTCTGGGAGTAAAAGCTTAACCAGTCTAAGCTATAAACTAAAACCCCTGCAGCTAAACATGAACTGTGTGAAACAAGGGCTCCATTCCAGAACAGAAAACTGCTGGGCCCAGAAAATTAAAAGCCAGAGGCGTTTTCCATTTAAAACTAAATCCCAGTACCGCCTCCCAGCCAAAGAATTATAAGCAGTATCAGATTTACAAAACGAACAATTACCCTGGAAAAATGTAGCCTATTGTACAGTCCCAGATGCTAAATCTCAAAGTTCCTTTTTTTTCTAATCCCACATTATATTCTTACTAAGTGCATAGTTGCAGTTTACAAAGAACCATTTCTAGACAGGCCTAAACTATGAAAATTAAATGTTAAAAAGAGCTCGTAATTCATTGACCTCATTTGAAGTACTGCCCTTGCCTGTAGCAGTTCCTGTCCTTCCCCAAGGCCTCTACAAATGGTATGCAACAGCAAAATAAACCCTGACCTAATTGCCAGGAGAGGGCTGCCAACCTTCCCTCAACACACAAAGGCAAACATGGTAACTTGAAAGTCCTACCTCTTTTGCTTTCTGCTTTAATCGCAGCTGTTCTGGATCTTCTTTATTGGAACGACTCTATTAAAGTAAGAGAAAAATTTAACTGAAATTACTAGCATCTAAACATCACAGCATCCGTTAAATATTTAATAAGTGACAATTCCCTCTTGTGATTGAACGTCTTAGCTCCAGGGGTGAACGCCTCAATCCAGATTGGCTTTTCTCTCCTCCCCCTAGCCTCCCTCCTCTTCATGTGGGCCTGGCTGCCTCTGTTCTAGCCTGGAGGAAGCTCAAACTAAAAATGATGCTAACACTGTCAGTCAGGTCCAGTCTAGGCATGATGTTGTTCATGTCAGCCGCAGACACTTAAAAGGACAGGAAGTAGAGAAGAAGAAATTGTTCTTGTTTAAGTACAGTGAGACTCCTAGTAAGTCTAAATTCCAAACACACCCAAGTGATTCTAGAATATGTGCCCCAGACTTATCTGTTTAAAAAACACACAAACTGAGCCAAGACTGCGCGGACACAGAGGTGCCGCATTTACACGTTTTGTTTATACGCAACCAATAATTTTAACCAATAGAGCACAGGCTAGAAGTGGATCACATATTGGACTGACTGGATTGCAACACAGCCTGCCAAGCATCACAGCTCTGGAGCGTTGGCAGAAACAGTGAGGACAAATATGAGGAAGCAACACATTGAGGTACTGAGACAGGCAAGCAAGCAAGCCAGATCCAGAAACAAAGACAGGAGATCAGATTAAGAATGTAGAGTAAATGACTGTTTTGGTTTTATGTGTATGTACCAAAATATGGCCTTTTGATAACAATCTTTCAAATGTATTCTTTAAAGATTTGTTTATTTCTGTATCAACAATCATACAATATGTTTCCTGTGTACACTTTGTTCTTGCAATTATTTCTGGAAGATTAGGGCAAAAAAAGTATAGTACACAATGGACAGGAGTGTAGATGTGCGGAAATTGCAACAGATATTTACTCTATGGCCTTCACGTGAGCTAAACATTCATCTCTAAGAAACAAACCCCCCAATAAGAATACCTTTTCTGCATGTACTTTCACATAAAAAAAATTATTAATTAATGTAGAAATATGAGACAGGTGCCATTCAATGTCTGGTGTTCAAAAGGCAGTCACTTTTCTGGGTGACCAAGAACAAGACACTCCCTCACCTTGGCTGCCCGTAGAAGCATTTCTCGTTCCTCTTCATCCTTTCTCTGTTTTTCCATGTGATCCAGCTTCTCAAGAAATCTCAGTTGTGCTCTAGTGTCACTAGACATGATGTACTTATTACTGTCCTGCAAAGAGAACTTTATTAAAGCTGGTCAAGCTTTTAGACCCTGTTAAAATCCTATCCTAGGTCAAATAACTTATTGGAAAAAAACTCTATTGTATGAAATTCTCTTTCAAAGTTGATCGTTGTAAGTGCTTTCCATAGGATTCTGCTTGCAAGAGAATCCATTACCATGTCTTCCCTCCAATGTAGTATGCTTCTTAAGATCTGTCTATTCAACTACTTAACAGCCCTTTAGCATCCAGTTAGGGTTGCCAGATGGTTTTACCAAACATGCCAAACACTCCCCCCCCCTTCTGCCCCCCCAAAAATTCACACACCAGAGAAAAAATTCTGTTGAGAAAAAGGAGGGGGGAGACCAAAGTTGTTGAGAAACAAAGAACCCCAAGAGTGGAGAAAAAAATATATTAACACCAGCATGGCCCCTTTAAGAAATGCCTTTGAAGCTTTTTTGCTGTCGGCCATCTTGTTTTCCTGCTCCAAGCCAGAAGAGAGTTCCCCTGTGAAACCAGGTAAGTGGGGGGTGGGGGTGGGGAGGGTTAAGAGGGCTGGGGGAGACCAAAGTTGTTGAGAAACAAAGAACCCCAAGAGTGGAGAAAAAAATATATTAACACCAGCATGGCCCCTTTAAGAAATGCCTTTGAAGCTTTTTTGCTGTCGGCCATCTTGTTTTCCTGCTCCAAGCCAGAAGAGAGTTCCCCTGTGAAACCAGGTAAGTGGGGGGTGGGGGTGGGGAGGGTTAAGAGGGCTGGACCCGGTTG